GTTCAAAATGAAGTCAGTCAATCTTATAACATCAAGTACTTCCAATTTATCATCATTTTCATCAAGTTCCCTCACATCTTTCCCAGGGGAAACATTGCTATCTGGGTCACCTGCTCCAATGGTCGCTGGGCTGTTGTCACCATCAGACCTTCTGTTACAAGCAGCTAAGATCTTTGCAATATACTGCCACATAAAGTAAGGTTCAAACGTATTAAACAACAAGTTCCCAGTTTTAATCAATTCCTCCATTGGGTTCTCTTTTGAAATGCTTTGTTTCACTGGCTCATGTTTTCTTGAAGCTATTTCTCGATTCTTTTCAATGCTTTCTTTTGGATTAAAATGCTGGTAGCTCAGGAAAAGATTTTTAAAGACCTCTATAAGCACATCCTCAAGGATTGCAGAGCCAATTTCTGGTTTATCAAGCAGGTTTAGCAGGATCCTGAATGGTTTGAGTAACTCTAGTTTTGTAGTTTTTCTTGACATCAAAGCATCCACTCCTGGAATATGAATAATGTTTATGACTTAAGATAGAACTTATAGAGCTATCCAGCATAAATAAATGTAGTTTTAGGTTTCCTCCTGCAGTAACACTGGATCAATAAGAGATGATCCTTACTGGACCTCTAGGAAGAACAGTTTAGAACTGATAGAGCTATCCAGTTTAAATAAAGTTAGTTTAGTTTAGGTTTCCTCCTGTAGTAACACTGGATCAATAAGAGATGATCCTTACTGGACCTCTATAAGGAAGAACAGTTTAAAACTGATAGAGCTATCTAGTAGTCTATATAAAGTGCAGCCTACCTGGTCCACTCTGTTGCCTAAACAAAGCTTTCATTCCTTCAACAACCAACTTCTTTCCAAACATTTCAAAATATTGGCTGCTATCATCTTCACTGGTGCTACCAGAGAGCTGTGACAATCCAGCGCTGTTTACACCAAGTATCCAGGCATACAGTCTTCGGTTCAGGGACATATCCCTTCGAAGGAGAACTCCAAGTGCGGCAGTCATGAGAGTAGATAGGTGCGCGGGGGAGAGGTAGGGGACATGGAGGGGCAGCAACTGAACTAAGAAGTCAAGGATGTTTCTTTGCACAAGAGCAAGGCTGTCGTTTAGGGCAAGACACAGTCCTTGAACCTAAAATATTAGTTTTTTTCAAACTATTTATATACACAGAGTAAAATACTAAAGTAGGTCACATCTGGGTGCATTGCAAGCTAATGGGTTAACAAGAGACACTGACAGACAGAATTTTGGTGCTCTATGCATGAACATCGATTACTCACCATATATGCATGGTTCTTGCCCAGCAAATGCTGCTGCTCTGTTGGTGGTAAATGTTTATCCAGTTGTGAGAGGAGAAATATTGTGGCAGGCAATCTTGCTGAAGGTGTTGTGATCACAGATTGCCACAATGCATCAAAGAATATATCGATATCTGTGGCAACACTGATTGACTCCAGCAAGGAAATTGTTCTGGTTAAAAAAATGGACAACGACAGAAGAATAATAAGGAAGCTAGTCAGCTAGTAGTACCATACAAAACAGCCTAAGAGTTTAGAAAAAGATGAAAGGATTTTAAACCAACAGTACAAACCTTTCCGTGTAATCAGATCCTTCCTCGATTGCTGGCAAAAGACCCAACAACAGACCAGGTAGACTTGGTTCCAAAGCTTCACCCAGTGGTATAAAATGTTCTTCATATAATTTCATTAAAACAGGCTTGACAGACATTGCTGAGTGACTCATTAATGGAAATAGCCCAACACTATAGATAAATAGGTCTTGAGACAAACGTTTGTTGCCAATACGCTCAAAAATAAGGTTGTAGGTCTCCAAGGCTTTGAGATGAACACCGCTGGGTAGGGCTGGATGCATGCATTGCGATAGTCTTTTACCAATCATTAGTTTTCTGGGAATAACAACAAACTTGGAATAGGAATTCAAAACCTAAAGAAAACAGAGCAAGATTAGTCAAAGAAATCGGAAAGCAATATAGACATATATAGATAAATTTGTTTGTATTTTACTCTGTCTAATGCCAGATGATTTTACTTATCAGTGGATGAATACTGTCAGTTAATAAGTTAACAAAACTATCTGTCAGTGTCTCTTGTTAACCCATTAGCTTGCAATGCACCCAGATGTGACCTACTTTAGTATTTTACTCTGTCTAATGTCAGATGATTTTACTCATCAGTGGAAGAGTACTGTCAGTTAATAAGTTAACAAAACTATCTGTCAGTGTCTCTTGTTAACCCATTAGCTTGCAATGCACCCAGATGTGACCTACTTTAGTATTTCACTCTGATTTTACTCATTAGTGGAGTCAAACCCACAACTTTGCATGCAAATACCTAAAACGACGCAAGCCAAACACTTAGGATTCTTTCAGAATTAAGTGTTTCATGTGACATCATTGGAATCGGACGAAATACTAAGAAATGGAAACCTGCTTTCACCTAATGTTATTGTGAAAGTACTCCCGGATAAACTAGCCACAAATCATGACAAATTTGAGGAATATTGTTCCTTAATATGCACCGAGATCGGGTTCAGTTACAAGTTGTACATAGACGTACGTGTTACAACTTACAAAATTACATAACCCCAAATTTTGTGTATAAATATTCATTTACTTGAGGTATAAACCTACCTTGTTTAATTTCCCCAATGCAGAGATCAAATCGGCCCATTCGCTAGTCGACTCAAAACTCCTCAAAGCTTTCTCAACCGCTGCGATAAATTGCCGATATTTGCTGTCAGACAGCAGCTCGACTTCTTCTGAGGACATTTTTTATATGAACGCTGCTTTTAAACGGATTCAATGAACTTTGAGGCTTGTTCTGCATTGCCAGGCATCGTGGACACAACTCATGCATATAATCTCCATAAATAGCAAACAATTCACCCTTTTTCAAGACATTTTAATCATTTTCCGGCGGTTTTCAAGTATGTTTCGATCCTAAGCTGAACTAATATATTTTCAATAAAAAATAAACAAAAATTTGCGACTTTTCGAGTTTATTTTTATTTTGAAAGTGCTGAAGTGTTTCCACCGTTAAGAAAATCACATTTAGTTTCAATAGGAAATTACACTGAGCTAATAACAACTGGAACGCTAGCTGAATACACGATAATTAGCATTTCTCACGATGACGAATATCCGCCATTTTTGGGGTACTTTCAATCTTTTTAAATTTGTTTAAATCTTCTTCAAACAATAATAGCAATGTAAGAAGCATATTTTAAGAGTCCATACACCATTTGAACAATAAGTTTAACCTAAAATTAAAGACAGCCGCCCTGACAAGGTCTTGCGCTCACAATTTAAAAAAAAGTACCCCAAAAATGGCGGCACATTCGTTTAATTAAGTATATTCGATCTTACCAATGTCTGGTTTATTGAACCTTAAAAGGGGTAAAAATACCATATTTTGGTATACTAAACCTGGACCAGGCCGAATATACCATATTCCGGTATATTCGACTTCGTCAAGTTCGAATATACCATATTTAGTACAATGGACCATGGTCGAATATACCATTTTCCGGAATTTTTCAGTTTATTCCACCATGATCGAATATACAGTAGGAGGCAAAAGTTTGAGTCCAGTGACTTTATTTCATTGTTTTAACAGCATATATTAATTTTCTACAGAAAACCTTACCGATAAGTGAACTAGAAAAAAGTAAATAAGTAAACTGAAAAATACATGCTGCAGAACAACTATGAGATGTTATGATATTCATGTAACGTATGTTAATGTGCAAACATGCATTACATGTCAATGTTTAGTATCCCTCTTTTTTGCTCATGAAACGGCCTTTATTCTTGCTGGCAAAGATTCCATAGCTTTTTTAATGTCACACGTTCAATACCTTGCCAGCATTCGTTGACCACTTGCCTGAAGTCATCCTGGTTGGTGGGTCTGTGCCTCGCCCTTTTCCGGTTAAAACGGTCCTACAAGTGCTCCATAAGTTTTAGATCTGGAATTTGACGTGGAAAGGCATGAAAACGAGATCACCAGAACGAGTTTGCTTCTAAAAGATTTCTGGCACATAGAAGATGTGCATGCATGTCCTTGGGGTGATTATCACATATATAGTTAGACGCGAGATCATCTTTGTACCAGATGAAATTCCATGTCCTTGAAGAATTGGATGATACTTTTCATTAATTAGGCTCCTATTATATCTTTCAATATTGCCAAACCCAGCATGACCGAAGCAGCTAAAAGTTTGCTTGAGTAGGATTTAGTTTCTTCGAACCTCTCCAAGATTAGTTGCATGCCAACTTTTGAAATTCTCACTTTTCTGCGATCTTACGAGGAAAGAATCCTTCAATACTTAATGCAATTATTTGTCCTTGTGGACGATCACTTTTCCCACCCATCTTGGGCAGTGTAAAGGAATGAGAACTTTATTTTGTTATAATTTAGATAATTAGGACCAAAACAGTGTGCAATTAATATGGTTTACAGTACTGAAACACTAGCACGCATGTCTTAACTTGAATACGCTGCCAGAGTTTAACACTGGAATTCTACAACGACTGGACTCAAACTTTTGCCCCCTACTGTACCTTTTCCAATATATTCAATCATACCAAGGCTGGATATATCATATTCCGGAATATTCTACGTTGATAACAAGGTAGACAACAATGGGTAGACAAATACAGAAGTGAATTGAATCATAACTAGTTTATTGGGATTGAACGAAGGTGGTTTGTGGATGAAAGATGCGACTTCATCCAAACTTTTGGTTCTCACAAACCAGAGACCTATAAAATCTCAATATTTATCTAAAAATAAATGAAGCATTTAATAATACTGGGATATTGATACTCGGAATAACAAAAAAATGCAAATGTCTGAAGATATTTGAAGTTCTCACAGTATGGTGGTAAAATGGTATTGTGAAAACGAAACCAGTTACCCCCATATAAGGAAGCAGATGCGATGTTTTTAACAAAATAAACATTGCGACGTGGCAAAGATTTGTCTTCAACATAAAATATTATTGACATCGTTGAGATCAACTTGCACGTTTGAGAAATTGGTGGAAATCCTTCATCTTTCGTAAGTTTAATCTAATTCATTTTTAATCGTTCAAAGCTGCATGATTTGTCACAGTCAATAGTGGCTTCGAAATATCGTATCGCTTAAACGAGCTTTTACACTTTTCTTTGTGTAATGCTGAAGTATATATCGCTGTGTGGTAACCTGGATTTTGTGATTATCAGAAAAAAGGCCTCAACTTCAGCTACTTCCGACTTGCATGTTATAATTTCGAGGAATTCGCTCTAGAGATAAAATATCGTTCTTGCGACAGTGTTCAAAGCTATATTCTGTACGATGCTGGTGAAGAGCTCTGACCACTGAGCTACGGAGTGACCTGTCAACTTGCAAGACCGAATGTGAGATTGGCTCGATGATTTATAATAGAAAGGGATCATCCGTCTGGACGAACTTGGGCAAGCGAGGGATAGTTCGACTTCCCGAATTTGAAAGGGTTGTTCGTCTTGACGCATCATTCGTCTGTTAGTATAAGTAAGACGAAGAAAAGTTCATCATAAAACGGCTCTTGTGCACTCTTTTTACTACATAAAAAAATTTCCAAGCTAATTCCTGTGCCGTTTCTAAACGTGCGATTCTGTTATATTTAACATATCCGTCAACATAGTTCGTCTAGATAGTTTGTCGTGTGTTTACATGTATACTCAGACGAATAATCTGTCAGATAGATAGATCATTTGTCCAGACGGATCGTTTGTCTGTATTATGGCGTATAAATCGCGCCATTTTCGGCAGTTCGCTACAACCCCCTACATTAATCTCATGTACATTCGCTCGTAGCTAAGTGACGAAGGGCCGGTTGTTCGAAAGGCGTTTAGCTTAAACGGTGGATAAGTTCAAAATTAAAAACAAAATTATTCATTTATTGAACATTTGAGCCGAACTGTTTCGATGTAAATAGTTTAATTTTCAATGAAAGTACATATTAAATGCATAAGATGCAAGTTCAGTCATTCACAAGATGTATGAGAGTATTTTTAAACTTTGGCTTATCCACCGTTTAAGCTGAACACCTTTAGAACAGCAGGCACCAGGGCAACCAGAGGGATCCATCGACATCGCACATAACGTAGGTTCGGCTCCTGTTGAAGAACTGGTAGTCCCTGAGTATCTCAACTTCTCCAAATTACTCGGACCACCGTAGGTAGACCGAGTTGTAAAATGGGCTCGGTTTTTTCTTTTGCGTCGCGAGTTTACAAAAATCACGCGTGGGCGGCACGAAGTCTTCGAACCAATCGAAATCGTCCTAGGATCGTTTCTCGCGCGGGTGTCACGAACATGCCATGTTACTACGAGATAACTGTAGCCCGAGTAATTGCCTGAGTAGGCGTCTTGTTCGCCCTTAAAATTGCATATATTTAGATATAATATAAAATTCTGCTCGAGTTTTAATTAAACGAGCCGACTTCTACTTGAGCTCGAGAGGGGAGGTCTTCCGCTTTTTTATAGCAAATAAACTCAAAGTGTATAAATAGAAAGCATTGTGCATTGTATGTGTCTGTTCGAAGTTTCCAACTAAGTCTTTTAAAGCCTGGCAATGACTTTGTTATACTTCTCAAAAGGCATCCAGACATTCAAGACTTTGGCAAAGATCATATTCATGGCGACAGGAAATGAAAATACTTTGCAAGGTTATGACGTGAGTCGTTTTCAAGCAGAAGTCAGAGAGGATGTGCTTTGTTCTATTTGTTATAAAGTTCCAAAGAATCCCAGACTTTGCCAACACCAAGAACATGTATTTTGTTTGTCTGATATCTCACAATGGCTCCTAGGAAATAAAACATGTCCAGTTTGCAGAGATCCTCTGAGTCAAGAAACCTTGAGACGACCAACGGGATTTCTGAAGAATTATTTGAACGACCTAAAAATCAAGTGTGATCATCATGAACGAGGATGTCCTGACTACGTTCGTCTGGAACATCTTCCAAAACATGTTGAGCAATGTGGATATGCTCCTGTCATGTGTCGTAATGAAGGATGTGATACAGAGGTCAATAGAAGAGATGTTGAAAATCACGAGAAAAATTTTTGTCAATTTAGACTGGCCAAATGTCACGACTGTAAAAATATCAAGGTAAGTCAAAATGGAAACTATGTTTGGATTGAAATGTTTGGATTGAGAGATCAAATTCGCATTTTATAAAAACGTTCTATCAAAAAAGAGCGAGATTAAATCGGGATTTGTAATGGCTAATTTCCGCAGCGCGAAACAGGCCTTGGAGGGAAGATTCCAGGCAGATATCAGGAAGCTTATTTTCATGAAAAAATGTTTCAATCCTGGATACACCTCTGATCAATCGTAGTTTTTCGAATTGTTGGCGGTATTATGTCTAATGTATAACAAAAATTTTACTTTGACTTAGATAAATGTGGATGGATTAAGAATGAGTCAGAATGAAATTAATGTTGGAATGACTTCACTGGAAAGAAAACAGGATGAAATAAAGGTAAGACTAACCATTCAGTTAATATTTGTTTTAAATTAGAATGGATTGAATTGTTGTTAAAAAATTTAATTGTGCATAGGTTACTGAAATTTGACACTTATCATAAATAATAAATAAATTAAATAAATAATTTGACAATTTTACTTTGACTTAGAAAAATGTGGATGGATTAAAAATGAGTCAGAATGAAATGAATGTTCGAATGACTTCATTGGAAAGAAAACAGGATGAAATGAAGAGAAAACAGGATGAAATAAAGGTAAGACTAACAATTCAGTTAATATTTGTTTTAAATTAGAATGGATTGAATTGTTGTTAAAAAATTTAATAGTGCATAGGTTACTGAAATTTGACACTTATCATAAATAATTGCAATTGGAAGCAAACAGGATGACATGAAGAGAAATCAGGATGAGATGAAGGTAGGACAACTCTTTTAGTCATTCATTTCTTTGAAATAAAATGAATTGAGGTCAGTGACGTTCCACATATTTTGAGATCAGTGACATGTACACGCATGGTTAATCTTGTATCCGGGATAATTTATGAACTTCAGAAGTCGCTAATATTTTTCTTACCTGGGACCTGCTTACTCTCCCCAGGACCTACGCCTTGACTCGGCGTAGAAACAAATCTAGCGGTAAGATTGCTGGCGGTAATTTAAACTTTAGTTATATCAATGCATCATCGGCTGATTCGCGTGATTAAAGAAATTTTATTTTTAATTTAGCAAAGTATGAACGAGATGAGAGAACAGTTTGAGAGAATGATGATGATGATGAACCAAACATTTCAAGGAAATAATACAAACAAGAATGGTGCTAGCGCTATGAATCAGACAGGTCCAGTCAACAATCAAGATGTTATTATTATTAGCGGTGAGCAAAGGCAAGAAAGAAACGAGGTATTAAATACAATCGAGAAATACAACATAGTAGAAGAAAAATCAATTCCGCTGCCAGGATTGAATCATCCTCGAACAGCATCAGCATCGTGTGTTTACAACAATGACGTTCTTGTCGTTGGTGGTTTCGATGGTAAAGAAGGAACTGACACGATCGAAGTTTTGAAGATGAACCAACATCCTTTGCGATGGACAATGTTTGATGGTAAACTGCCTGTCAAATTATCTGGTCATGACGTCATAGTTTATCACGGAAAATTATATATAATAGGAGGATATGAGTGGAATGATAGAAAAGCATCGAATGCCATTTATAAGATTGCTCTTACCCCACCTTATACTGCCAATCTGCTGACGAGAATGCCTGAGGCAAGAAGATATCAAAGAGCAGAACTTGTTAATGGAAAACTATTTATCTTGGGCGGAACAACAACCGCCCTTAGTAAAGATGCTCTTGACAGCGTTGTTGTTTATGATTTGATTAAGAATGAGTTCAAGCCATGTCCATCGTTACCTCAGCCAGTTTGTTTGATGTCCACAGTCACTTGGGGTCATATGATCATCGTCGTTGGTGGTGGGGATAAGAATCATAGGACATTGAATGACGTCATAATGTACAACACAGAGACAGGGCGAAGCAAGAGACTTCCCTCCATGATTCACAAAAGGAGGGCTAGCTCTGTCGTGATCATGAATGACGTCATTGTCGTGTTTGGTGGATGGAATAAGGAGCAGGGATATCTCAACTCACTGGAATCTTTCACCATTGGTGGAGATGGCTGGAAAGAACTGCCAGGAATGATTGAAAAAAGACGCAATGCTACTGCTGTAGTTAAACCTCTGTAGGTAAAGTATCAACAAATAAATTCAATTATTTAATAAAGGAGGTTAGGATATGTTTTGAACGCCTTTCATTCTACGTTGATAGAAATTTCATTTAAATCATAACATGACGATGAGACTGGAAGAATTATAATATGAATATCAAAATATTCAAATGTTGAATCACAACATAAAGTTGATTGAACACTTGAATACTTAATAAATATTTGTGAAATTTGCAGGAGAATTTGATGAAAAATTTGAAGTGAAAGAGTTTGCCATTTTGTCCAAGATTGAGATGAACACGAAATTATAAATGAACAGTCAGTGAATGATTACATGAATTAGGTTTTCAAGTCTCTGAGCGCCGCTGACCACCACTGATCTTTTATGAAACTGGATGATTGAAGATGTTTTGTAATAAAAATGATATTGTGATAATTATATCATATATAACTGATGTAGTCGCGCATATTTGTAAATATTGTAGATAAAGACAGAATATTCGTATATATCACTTCATATTGAAACTAATCTTTAAAACATTTGAGAATTGCTTAGAGTTAGAGACAATAATAATGAGCATTTATAAAACTAGGATAGAATATGGACGCTGGGTTCAGTCAGAACTAAACAATTGTAAATAAAACAAAATCTCAGATGATTCGTAACAAGTAACGTTAGATCAGACAACTACAGTATATTCATTCTGATATTTTCCCTTCTTATTCCAAAACAATTTGCATGGTTTGTTAATAGTTTTAATTCTAATGTTAATGTATCATTGTAGAAGTTCATTAAATCAAATCAATTTTTCATGTATAATGTTATATACATCGCCAAATATTTCCATTCTAAGAAAATGCGTTTTGAAAAGCTACCCATGAGGTAAGGTAAGGGTTGGGGATCAACGGATGATGAAGAGGAATATTTGGGGATAAATGGTGTTGCCTGAGGAATTGCGCAAAGGAATCTCGTTTTATTTCGGGATATTTTTTTCGCTAAACACGCGCAGAAGACAAGAAATAATGAAATTGATAATTCTGATATAAAAGTGAAACACAAGCCACGTTCACTTTTATTCTGTGAGAAAATCTCCACATTAAACACGACTCTTCACAGATATTAAAATCTGATGCAGAAAATTCCCCGGCGTAAAACACTCTCACTGTAGACTTGAAAGTTCAACGTATTCACATGTGGACTGGATTATAGCAGACACGGAAATATTTATATTTGAAATTCTTTCATATTTCTATACGCCTGAATTCTCAGTATTAGTTTTACTTGGAAATTTATAAAACTTCCACGAATGACATATTGAAACTAAAACTTCCGTGCACAAGAAATGCAATATATTGAAGCTTTTATTTTATAAGTTAGTAAATAAATGACTACAAAATTACTACATTGAGTTTATATGTTCTTAATAATGGAAAACTCTTTTTTAACATTGCAATTTCTGTTAAATATATCAGCATAAGTTGAGAATTGTTTTATGTTTTCCCAGGAAATTGAGGTGATTTAAGGTCAAGTTAAGTTTCCTCACATGATAATTTCGCAATATTAAACTAATCCTTAGATTGTGTACACAAGGAACGAACAAGACTCGAGAATTGTTGCTGTGAAAATCACTGGTAAGTTTCTTGCAAGATTTGTTTCTAATCTTAGACAACTCTCAGACGCGAGATTGCACGAACTCAGCGCCATTGACAGGCAAATTGGTGCGTATCATTTGTTTGAGGTTTGGATATTATTCGCTTCCGAGTATCGCGTTCAGAATGCGAGCAGAAGCTGAGCTAACAAAGGATTTCTTGAGGAAAGAAATGGACCCAAATTAATGAATTGATGGACGATTCTGAGTTCGTCTGATCTCGTGAGAATCCAGTCTTAATAAATGAATGTTTAAATGGTGATTTTCATGAAATCTAAGAGATTCTAGCGAGTTAATACTTCGCGCAATGTCTACAATAAACAAGGCTTATTTGAATATAATAATAAATAAGAGATTATCCAGAAGTATTTGATGGACAATCATCGTCTTGAATACAACAATATATTACGTTAAATATAGGCTCGTATTTTGTGTTGAAATACAAAGAAGGCTGTGATTTTGTTTATTGTGTTTAAGATAGACTTTCTAGGTTCGTAGCACAGATTAACACCCAGATGTCTCACTTCTGACTCAAAAGCGTAAGCGATTCGTCACTGCGCATCGCTTTCTGCGCACGCTTAGCAAGTGACTAGAGGCATTCACCCCCCCGAAATAAAATTTCAAAATTGAGACGAACTGAATTGAAGTGAAAAACTGCACGATGTGTCAAATGAGTCGGAATATATGTACATTTATTGATTTGTACAGGAAGTTCCATTCAATGTAAAGATATTCAAACACTTTTTAAAAGAAATATGTTTGAAATTATGGAGATTTCTACTGCTTATAATTTTCCGCTCCTACGACAATCGAAAAAAGATAAAACACTCGTACAATATTGAAAACGAGGTACTCTAAACTCACTTTTCCAAAGCGCGTATAGATGATGATGGATTCAGACACAAACTTAACTACACAGTGGCCTTCTCTAGCAAATGAGAGGAGGTTTTTTTCCATGTATAAAATAGTTCGGCTCCATTTTGAAATTTCGGGGGGGGAATGCCTCTAGTCACTTGCTGAGCAAGCGCTTACGCTTTTTTAATCAGAAGTGAGACATCTGGGTAATCTGTGTTCGTAGTAATCTTAAATGTGTTTGAACAAAATGCGCATGCTCAGTTAGGGATGGGCTGACATGGTATATTTTCATAATCAACTTAAGGAGGTTCTGATATATAAACTGTTAATGCTGCACAGGGAATATAGAATAGTTTGAGTAGATTTTGTGACGCTGAGATTATAAGTTTTTTGCACATATTATGCCAGACATTTGACTGGTTACCTCACAGGATTCTTTGACTGGTTACCTCACAGGAAGAGACCAGTCTGTGAAGAGGTTTATTAAAAGGAGTGAATTCTGTTATATTTGTGAAACGCTTCAACGCAAATATTCTGAATAGTCCGCGAGTTGAAACTACCAGCGTTTTTAACTTCAACTGAACAAAGTTTTGTTCAAATCCTCCAGTTGAAAATCGTCGTTTATTCACGTTTTGGACTTGAAAAGGTTTAAAAACATGAAAATATTATTTTGCGATCATGCGATACTTTTTTGTAATTCAGCAGAACTATGGCAGCGAGATGGGAAGATGATTTGCAAGGTTATGACGTGAGTCGTTTTCGAGGAGAAGTCAACGAAGATCTGCTTTGTTCCATTTGTCAGGAAGTTCCAAAGGATCCCAGACTTTGCCAACACAAAGATCACATATTTTGTTTCGCTCATATATCACGACATCTCGTTCAAAACTCTCAAACATGTCCAGTTTGCAGAGATCCTCTGACTCAAAAAACCTTGAGACGACCAACAGGATTTCTGAAGAATTATTGGGAAGGTCTGAAAATCAAGTGTGATCATCATGAACGAAAATGTCCTGACTTTGTTCGTCTGGAACATCTTCCAAGACATGTCGAGGAATGTGGATATGCTCCTGTCATGTGTCGTAATGAAGGATGTGATACAGAGGTCAATAAAAAAGATATTGAAAATCACGAGAAATATCTTTGTCAGTTCAGAATCGCCAAATGACGACTGTAAATATCAAGGTAAGTTAAAATGAAATGTTCTGATTTATTTCATGTCTTTTACACTTATATTTTGTCAAGTTGTACCCAGTTCATCTCCATAACAATTCTATTTTGAATCAGGAAAATGTGGATGAAAGAAATGTTCGAATGGCTGCGATAGAAAGAAATGAGGATGAAATGAAGGTAAGACAACTCTTTCAGTTATTATTTGTTTGAATTTAGGAGCAATTTAGGAAAAATTAATTCGTAATTGAAAAATGAAATTTGAAAAGTATCATTAATAATCGTGGCTGCGATTGAATGTAAACAGAATGAGATGAAGAGAAATCAGGATGAGATGAAGAGAAATCAGGATGAGATAAAACAAAATCAGGATGAGATGAAGAGAAATCAGGATGAGATGAAGAGAAAACAGGATGAGATAAAGAGAAATCAGGATGAGATGAAGGTAGGACAAGTCTTTTAGTCATTCATATCTTTGAAATAAAATGAATTGAGGTCAGTGACGGTCCACAAATTTTGAGATCAGTGACATGACCACACTTGGTTAATCTTGTATCCGGGATAATTAATGAACTTCAGAAGTCGCTAATACTTTTCTTACCTGGGACCTGCTTACTCCCCCCAGGACCTACGGCTTGACTCGGCGTAGAAACATTTCTAGTGGTAAGAATGCTGGAGGTAATTTAAACTTTGGTGATATGAATGCATCATCGGCTGATTCGCGTGATTAAAGAAAATTTATTTTTAATTTAGCAAAGTATGAACGAGATGAGAGAACAGTTTGAAATATTAATGATGATGATGAACCGCACATTTCAAGGAAATAATACAAACAAGAATGGTGCTAGCGCTATGAATCACGCAGGTCCAGTCAACAACCAAGATATTATTATTATCGGCGGTCGGTATGGCCTAGGAGATGACAAGGTATTAAATACCGTCGAGAAATACAACATAGTAGAAGGAAAGGCAACTCTTCTGCCACGATTGAATCATCCTCGAACAGCATCAGGATCGTGTGTTTACAACAATGACGTTCTGGTCGTTGGTGGTTTCGATGGTAAAGACGGAATCGTCACGATCGAAGTTTTGAAGATGAACCAACATCCTTTGCGATGGACAATGTTTGATGGTAAACTGCCTGTCAAATTATATACTCATGACGTCATAGTTTATCAAGGAAAATTATATACAATAGGAGGATGTGGCGGGAATGAAAGGAAAATATCGAGTGCCATTTATGAGATTACTCTTACCCCACCTTATACTGCCAAGCTGCTGACGAGAATGCCTGAGGCAAGAAGAAATCACAGAGCAGAACTTGTTAATGGAAAACTATTTATCTTGGGCGGAATAACAACCATGTTTAGTAACGATGCTCTTGACAGCGTTGTTGTTTATGATTTGATTAAGAATGAGTTCAAGCCATGTCCATCGTTACCTCAGCCTGTTTTTTCTATGTCCACAGTCAGTTGGGGTCATGTGATCATCGTCGTTGGCGGCTTCGATAAAAATGGTGAGGTGTTAAATGACGTCATCATGTACGACACTGAGACTGGGCGAAGCGAGAGACTGCCCTCCATGATTCACAAAAGAAGCGGCAGCTCTGTCGTGATCATGAATGACGTCATTGTCGTGTTTGGTGGATGGAATAAGGAGCAGGGATATCTCAACTCAGTGGAATCTTTCACCATTGGTGGAGCTGGCTGGAAAGAACTGCCAGGAATGATAGAAAAAAGACGCGTTGCAACTGCTGTACTTAAACCTCTGTAGGTAAAGTATCAAAGAACTAATTCAATTATTTAATAAAGGAGGTTAGGATATGTTTTGAACGCTTTCATTCTGCGTCGATAGAAATTTCATTTAAATCATAACATGACGATGAGACTGAAGAATTATAATATGATATCAAAATATTCAAATGTTGAATCACAAAAAATTGATTGAACACTTGAATACTAATAAATATTGTGAAATTGCAGGAGAATTTGATGAAAAATTTGATGTGAAAGAGTTTGTCATTTAATCCAAGATTGAGATGAACACGAAGTTATAAATGAACAATCAGTGAATGATTACATGAATTAGGCTTTCAAGTCTCTGAGCGCCGCTGACCACCACTGATCTTTTATGAAACTGGATGATTGAAGATATTTTGTAATAAAAATGATATTGTGATAATTATATCATATATAACTGATGTAGTCGCGTGTATTTGTAAATATTGTAGATAAAGACAGAATATCACCGTATATATTACTTGAATGAATAAAATCTTTAAAACATTGAGAATTGTTTAGATTAGCGACAAAATGAACATTTATAAACTAGGATAGAAATGGACGCTGAGTTCAGTCAGAACTAAACAATTGTAATAAACAAAATCAGATGATTCGTAACAAGTAACATTAGATCAAACAATCAGTAATTCATCTGATATTTTCCCTTGTTATTTCAAGACAATTTGCATGGTTTGTTAATAGTTTTAATTCTAATGTTAATGTATCATTGTAGAATAATAATAATAATAAAAGTATTTCTATAGCGCACAACCAAATTGTGTTCTGTTCTAGGCGCTTTACAGTAAAATCTAATATTAAAACTATTAAAATATCTAAATCATTAACAAACCTAATAATATAAATGTTAAGACCAACGTCATAGATTATTCAAAAATAAGTTAAAAAGATATGTTTTAAGATTTTTTTTAAATACAGTAATTGATTTGCACATCCGAAGATTAATGGGTAATTCGTTCCACAATCGTGGTCCCGCGACACAAAATGATCTATCCCCAAATGTCTTCAGTCTAGAACAGGGAATCTGGAGCAATTCACAGTTATTTGATCGAAGTGAACGCTGCGAAGTATGATAATGCAAGAGTTCCTTCAAATACGGTGGAGCAAGGTCGTTCATAGCCTTATACACATGAAGGATAATTTTGAATTGGACACGATATTGGACTGGTAGCCAATGCAATTCAATAAGTACTGGTGTAATATGTTCCGATTTCTTAGTACCAGTTAATAGACGTGCTGCAGTATTTTGGACTCTCTGTAGCCTCTGGAGTAAATATTTTGATACACCATATAGCAGTGAGTTACAGTAATCTAATCTTGAAGTTATAAAGCATGAATGATTATTTCAAGACAGTCCCGAGACAAATACTTCTTTATTCTTGAAATGTTTCTGATATTATAAAAAGATGACTTGCAGATACCATTAATATGTTCCTCCAATTTAAAGAACTCATCAAAAATAACCCCCAAATTTCTAGCTGAACCAGTTGGTACAATTCTGTCATCACCCACCGTGATATAATTCAAGGGAGGCATAGGGCGATAGCGTGAATGGACTAATATAAGTTCTGTTTTTTTCACTATTTAGTTTCAATTTATTCAGCATCAACCAGTTTCTAATTTCAAATATACATTTTCCATACGAATCTTAGATGAAATCAATTCACCAGGATCATTTGTTTTGAATGCAATGTAAAGTTGTCCATCATCAGCAAAAAAGTGAAAACGGAGATCATGACGCCTAGCCACATCTGCAAGCGGGCAGTGTACAATGAATATAACAGCGGACCTAATACCGATCCCTGCGGTACACCACATTCAAGATCACGCCATAGCGAATCTGTTCCCTCAACACGAACAAATTGTTTCCTAGATATAAGATATGAAGTAAACCAATCCAAAACACGACCCTTATACCAAATCGCTTCCATAATCGTGTCAATAAGATCGAATGATCTACGGTGTCAAACGCTGCTGACAGATCCAGTAGAACAGAATGACAGAGTTTCCATTGTCGAGGGTCTTGGAGAATATCGCTTTGAACCCTTAATAATGCTGTTTCTGTACTATGACGAGGCTTATAGGCAGACTGGAACTTCTCATGTAGTTTATTCTCGTCAAGATAATTCATTAATTGTACAGCAACTGCTTTCTCAATAGATTTCGAAACAAATTTCAAATTAGATATTGGACGAAAGCTGCAGAATTCTTCATAGGAAAGACCACACTTTTTAATAACGGTTTAAGAACAGCAATCTTTAGAGAGTCAGGCATTAAACCATTTTCCAAAGATAAATTAATTATTCTCGTTATAATGGGCACGATGTCTTTTAGGCAATGTTCCAGCATAACCGCTGGAATAGGATCTAGAACACATGATTTCATTGCAATCTGTCGAATTAAATCGAACATCTCATTGTTACCAACTTCCTTAAAAACACGAAGTTCATGGGGACATGAATCACCATCGGGAAATGGGTTTTCTATATCATTAATTAAGAGGGCGTCATTGATTTCACCTCGTATTTTAACAATTTTCTGCGTGAAAAAATCGCAAAATGAGTTTGCCAGTGACATTGGGTCAGGAGATGATGGATATCGGGTAGTCGTATTTTTGTGCAGCAAATTACTTACGGTCTTAAAGAGAGCTCTTTGATCAGATGACCCATCCTTGATTAAGTCAGTATAGTAAGCCGATTTTGAGGAATAAATCAGTTTATTCGCAACATAACATTGTTGTTTATACAGATTCCTATCAGCATTCATCTTTGAAGCTCATTAAATCAAATCAATTTTTCATGTATAATGTTATATACATCGCCAAATATTTCCATTCTAAGAAAATGCGTTTTGAAAAGTTACTCATGAGGTAAGGTAAGGTAAGGGTTGGGGATCAACGGATGATAAAGAGGAATGTTTGGGGATAAATGGTATTGTCTGAGGAATTGCGCTAAGGAATCTCGTTTTATTTCGGGATATTTTTTTCGCTAAACACGCGCAGAAGACAAGAAATAATGAAATTGATAATTCTGATATAAAAGTGAAACACAAGCCACGTTCACTTTTATTCTGTGAGAAAATCTCCACATTAAACACGACTCTTCACAGATATTAAAATCTGATGCAGAAAATTCCCCGGCGTAAAACACTCTCACTGCAGACTTGAAAGTTCAACGTATTCACATGTGGACTGGATTAT